TGAACGCAGGCATCTCGCGGCCCAACCGCTGGGCTCTCCCAGCAGCTGGCACGGAGCTGGTGCCTCACGGCGCGGACAGGGTCGTGACCCGCGGGACCCTGGCCCTGTCCCCACTCCTCTGCACCCACCGCAGGCCCAGCCAAGCCCCCACCTTGGGACCCTCCCTGGCTCAGGCCTGAGGGACTCTCTGGAGCCCAGGGTCTGCAAACCATGGCAGGCCTGTCCTGACAGAAACTTCCAGACCCAGAGCCTGTACGTTCTCCTTGGAGCTGTGTCCCGCCCAACTGTCCCTGGCTCTCCAGAGAGCTCCGTCCACCCTCTGTGGCCGGGCCTCCACACGTTCGGCCAGGACACTTCCCTGGGGGAAGCTGGGACGGCTGACACGGGCCGTTCCTCTCCTCACCCGCCCAAAACGGGAGGTGGTGATACGGCCTGGGAGAGGTCGGCATGGTCAGCGTGGAGCAGGGCAGGGGCACAGCGGGGCAGAGGGCGGTGTGGCCAGCGTGGCCCCGAGGGGGAGCCTCAGAAGCAGCAGTGTCGGCAGCAAGCCTGGGCTCGGGCCCCCGGTGACAGAAGGACACCCTGGCACTTCTGGGGGTGGGGGGCGTCCGGACATTCTGCCACACGGCTGAGCCCCCCGGGCTCCGGACCCCCTCCTGGGCTCTTCCTCTCCACCCTGTAAGTCACCTGGGCCATTGTCCAGTCCCAGGACTGCGTCCAGGGTAAGCCCACAGCCCCAGTGCCAGATGCCCGGCCCGGAGCGACACCCCCCCCCCCCGCCCGGGGGCTCCCTTGCACACCTAGCGGCCACCTCCCGCACGGTGCCTCGTGCTGTGCCTTCTTTCCCAGCAAACTGGGTGCAGCCGGCCACTGCCTGGACCAGAGCACCAGCTCTGCCTGCCGAGGTGACCCCTCCCCATGTCTGGCCCCGTGGAGCTCAGATGAGGATGGGCACTCGAGGCAGATAGGTGACCGCCGGGGCCGTGGGACAAGGGAAGGGTTGGAGAGGCAGGAAAATGAAGAAGGCCAACAGGACCCCTGGGGGCCCGACACGGTCTCCGGGCCGTGGGGACGCTGGCTCGTGGCGCCCTCATACCTGCCCCCCATTGATGTGTCTGCTTCCCAGGGCGGCAGTCACAAACGGCCGCAGACCGGGCCACTTGCACAGCAGAATCCGATCCTCTGACGCTGGAGGCGGGAAGTCCCAGGTCCAGGGCTGGGCAGGGCTGGGGCCTTATGAGGCCGCGGGACCACCTGCACCAGCCCCTCTCCCGGCCTCAGCGTCTCCTCATAGTCCGGGTCACCTGCCTTGTCCCCGCATGTCTGCGTCCCTGTGTCCCCTCCGCTTCTTACGAGGACCCTCGGCACAGAGCTTAGGTCCACCCTGAGGTGAGCACACCCTCACCTTAACCGACCGCATCTGCAGAGACCCTACTCCCAAATACGGCCACACCCAGGCTGGACACACATCTGGAGGGGACGCTACTCAGCCCAGCGGATGGAGCCACTCCTGACCCGCTTCACGCACAGACAGGCTGAGTGACCGCCCCAAGGATGTGCCGCTGTGATCGGACAGGACTCCTGGAGCCTGGCCGTCGTCACCTCGCGTTTGCACAAAGGGCCATAAGGGGTTCAGGTGGTCCCCCTCACGCCGCGGGTGGGGAGACTGAGGCCTGAGGTGACTCCGCATCCCGGGAGCCGGGCCTCCAGCCTGCCTCTCCCAGGACCGTCGGGGCTGCGCTGGGTCCCCCGGGGCGGCCGCGCTCGGAGACGCAGGCCTGTTTCAGGCCTTCCAAGTGGGTTTCTGGGCGCCTGAGGAGCACCGCCCTGCCCCGCGGCTGCATAATAAGCAGATCAGGGCATTAGGCGTCAGAGTTATTAAAAGTGAAAGATCCTGCAAGAGGAGACAAGGGATTCTTAGAGCCTCGTCTCCTACAAATATGTAATGAAATTTAAATTGAATCTGGTTTAAAATCATTTACCTTTTGACATCATGTATCAGTACACTAAGCATCAGCTGAGAAAGCAAATAACCTTTCAAGCAGAATGAAAAATTACTCTGTCTCTTCTGGTTTCGTGTTAATTTTCAAATTTAAACGACCCTAGAGCTCTCTGCTTGGGGTCAGCCCCTAAGAGCCTGTTGATTGCACAAGGCCCCGGCTGCTGTCCCCTCTTGCGCCCCTCCCGGCCCGCACCGCGGTGGGAGTTCGTGGTCCCGGGGCCCCGTCCCTCCCCTGGGTACAGATACGGCTTCCGCGCAGGTCAGAGTGTGCGCCCGGCTCACAGGGACTGTCCGCACAGCGCTGCGGGGGACACGGACCCTGGGCGGAACCCCCCTAGCAGCGTGACGGTGTCCTTGTGAGAATGTACAAACCGCCATAACCGCCCAGCCCAGCGGGCCTCTGGAGAACACTGAAGCTTTAAGGGTTCTTATGGGCACGTGTGTGGTGTGGCGAGAGCGGCTTCTGGGCCACTGCGAGATGACGTCACAGGGGGTGATGACAAGCGGGGGCGGGGGGCGGGTGGGTGGTTCTGGGCACCTCACTGCGTGCACTACAGCCCACTGAGGCCTCCCGACAAGCCTCTGCCTCTGCTCCCACCCCATTACACAGACCAGTAAACCAAGGCCCCGAGAGGTGAGCAGCTCAGCTGGGTCCCCATCACTGCACGTCCAGCCAAGACCCGGACCAGCTTCAGGAAACCTGAGAGATCGGCACCCAAGTGCCAGCGTCCGTGCGGCTCCCATCCGATACTCAGAGGTTAGAACTCGTTCGTCTCGAAGCAAGTCAGAACCTGCACCCACACACCCGGCCTTGGCCGTGATGGGCGAGGGGTGAACACGCTGGGGACCAAGGCACTGGTTTGCACGGTGCGAGCCCCGAAGCATCGTCCGCTTCTGGAACCTTCCTCCCAGCACTCAGCCCCCGTTACTGTCCCGTTTCACAGACCAGACAGTTGAGGCTCAGAAAGCGGAGCGCCGCCCTCTGCAGCCTCCCGGTGCAGAGAGAGAATCGGGGCTCCCGTTCGAGCCCCCAAGGGCAAAGGCGTGCCGACCCCGGGGCCAGAGGGCCCTCGGGAAGTGGCTGGACGCTCTGCTGGGCCCGAGGGGTCCTCCCCGAAGCCTCCTCAAGTGCTGGGTGTGCTGGCCCGGCCCCTTAGGACCATGGCCGACTTCCAGGGGGGACGTGGAGCCTGGGCCCCCTTTGAGGCCTCCTGCCACTTCTTAATTAGTCAGAACAAACAAAGGGGCTTTTCATGAGGACTGTCCCCTGCGCTGTCACATGTGAGCGTCACTGGGCTGGAAAACAGAGTGGCCTTTGCCAGCACATCACCCCCACCGGGCCCAGAGAAGGGGGAAGGGGGGCACCCGGCGGGGGGAAGGAGGCCGGGGCCCGGGCGCTGGAGCACCGACCCCCGGGGAGCACGCCCTCCAGCCTCAGGCTGCCGCTGGCTGAAGGGACCCAGTGTCCCAGCGGTGGGACGGGGGAGGGGGCGGGAGCCCACGCCCAGGGTCTGCTGTTCCCCAGCCCGGGGCCGCTTTCCACCGGCACGCAATTCAAGGCCTCCAGGTGGCCCAGAGCCAAGCCCTGGGGCAGAAGCCCCGGATGTCTGCGGGCCGGACACGCCGGCCTCCAGCGCTCGGGGCAGAGTCAGGAGCTTGCTCCGGGCCCAGGCGCACGCACAGTAGGCCTTCAGACACGGGGGGGGGGGGGGCTGGGCAGGGGTGCAGGCTGGGAGGCGGGTGGGGAGGGTCAGGGAGCACGGCGCCCATCATGGGCCCACCATCCGCGGCGCACCGGGCCTGTCCGCCACCCTGAGCGGCAAGTGCTAGGGCCGGAGGTGACACCGGCCTAGTGAAGGTCCCGGCAGAATGGTGCCCGGGGTCTCCCCCAAGGTCAGGCATGGCTGGAAGCCACTTAGCCAGGCGGAAGCCAGGCCTGGAGCAAAGTCTCTGTCTTTGTTTCCCTGCTCGGGTGGCAGGGGGGACGGAGTGGGGCCAGGGGGGAGGGACAGGGGCGGGGGGGGACGGAGTGGGGGCCGGGAGGGAACGGCCCGGTGTCGGGTACACTAAGCCCCTGCCCGGTCCAGCGGGGTCCCTCCGCCTTTGCTGCAAAAACCCTGTGAAGCGGCGGTCTCAGGGGGGACAGAGTGGGGCGGGCAGTGACAGCCTGACGGGAACAGGGTCTCCTCTGGGGAGGCGAACACGTTTGAGGACGCGGCAGGCGGTGGCTGGGCCGCGGTGTGAATGCGCTACGTGCCGGTGACACACAGGCTGCAGGACGGTCGACTTGGTGACGTGAGCTTCACCTCAACAGAAACACACCGCCAGAGCGCGGATTTAAAGGCTGCAGGAATGGGGAGCCTGGGGGGCTCAGTCGGTTAAGTGTCCGACTTCAGCTCGGGTCATGATGTCACGGTCTGAGTTCGAGCCCCGCATCAGGCTCTGGGCTGATGGCTCAGAGCCTGGAGCCTGCTTCCGGTTCTGTGTCTCCCTCTCTCTCTGCCCCTCCCCCGTTCATGCTCTCTGTCTCAAAAATAAATAAATATTAAAAAAATAAACAAATAAATAAAAAAATAAAGGCTGCAGGAAGAGCGAGCTTCCCAGGACCAGTGGCCCGGAACCACGCGGGGCGCCACCCGCCCGCTGACCGCACAGGCTGCCTGGGGCGGGGAGCCCGGCTCGCAACGGCCTCCCCTCGGTCGGTGGGCGGGGTCTCCCTGATGGCCCTGCAGCGTCCCCAAGCCCAGTGCCCCCAGCCAGGGGCCCCGTGACAAACGGGACAGCACATGGGCCGGGGACGCCCTGGAGAACTGGGCCGACCCCGCAAAGCTATCGCCACGGAGACGGCCTTCTGAGGGCGTCCAGCCCCCGCCCCGCCCAGAAAAGCCCTCCCGCCCCCGCTCCGGACGCGCTTCCGACCGTGACACGCGCCCGAATGACGCCTAAGCCAAGGGCCAGGGGTCTCGGCGACGGAGACGGGGCCCGCGGGAGGGCTGTGCTGACATCACCAGGAAGGGGGATCGGGAGGAACCGTTAATATGTAGTTAAACGTTCTTAATCTCCCCCAACATATGCTGTTGCACCTAACTTTGATCGACTTAAGTGTAAAAATGTCTCTGTGCTTCCACTCGGGTTTTACCGCCATCTGGTTTAATTAGTCCTCGGGTAGCCCGCCACCGACTTAATGGCAGAACGCTGCCGGGCCAATCAGAGGGCCGGCTGCCACCACCAGGGGCCCCCTGTTCCTCCCCAACCCACTGACGGGAGGTCGAGGCGGAGATAACACCTGTCGGTGGGCTGGGCACGGGCGGTGAGCACCAGGGACAGCGGGCACAGGGGGATGGTGGGCACAGGGGGCGGTGGGCACAGGGGGATGGTGGGGCCGGGGACGGTGGGCACAGGGGGACCATGGGCACAGGGGGATGGTGGGGCCGGGGACGGTGGGCACAGGGGGACCATGGGCACAGGGGGAAGGTGGGCACAGGGGGATGTTGGGGCCGGGGACGGTGGGCACAGGGGGCGGTGGGCACAGGGGGACGACGAGCACAGGGGGATGGTGGGGCCGGGGACAGTGGGCACAGGGGGACGACGGGCACAGGGGGCGGTGGGCACGGGTGGGTGAGGCTGGCAGGACAGCCGCCTGGATCGCCCCGGGCAGGGTGGGGCCTGTGTTTGGACCCTGGAGGAAGGACTCCGCCCACAAAGGCTGGTGGAGATCCCAGGTGGCCCAGACTGGGAAGCTTTGCTGGGGAGACCTGACACGACCTCCTGTCTGAACCCCCTGAACCCCATCCTTCAGTGAAACCTGGGATGACCCCCTGTGGAGCCCCCGTGGAACCCGGTGCCTTTGCTTGCTCCTCCCTCCAGACTTCAGACGCTAGTGTTCAGCAGGGTGTGGTGGGGCCCCGTGAATGGGCGACAGAGGCCCCCTCCCCTCCACAGAAGGCTTCAGGAGTGGCCTTGGGGTGGGCGACAGGGACGGTGACCTTGGCAAACCCTATTCCGGGAAAGGAGGGGTGGAGGGTGGAGAGCAGGGGGCGGGCAGGTGGAGGTGAGTGTCCGCTGAGAAGGCAAGACAGGAGCCAGGGGGCCCAGGGCGGGGGGGGGGGGGCCAGGCACCAGGGGAGGGGGGAGGGTGACGACAGGGGCAGGAAGCTTCTTGCACGGGGCGCCCGAGCCCCGTGTCAGCCAGCTGGGCACGGCGGCGCCCCTGGGGAGGCCGGGCCCTTGGCTCAGGTCCGTCGTCGTCCTGCCACTTGCTGATGGGATGAGCCCACCCTTAGGCCCCCGCGGTTTCCCCGTAACCTGGAAATGACGCCGTTGACCCTGCGTGCAGTTCTGCAGGCTGCAGATGATTTGCCACGGCCAGTGACGGCCAGGATCCGACGGCCCTGTTCTGTTCCAACGTCTTTAATGGACAAGGAGAGCCGCGTACCCCAGTGGCTTTCCCTTTTGTCTCGTCTGCCAGGAAGCTCGGAGCTAAGTTTGTGCTCGTTTTCAGGAGCTCCCTACAGCCTAGGCTGGTGACTCTCATCCGGGACCAGTCACCGGGCTGACAACGGGGAGGGGCTGGCCTGGGAGGCGCCCGCGCTGCCCAGCAGAGACCCACCTGGGGAGACGCAGGGGCCCTCTCCATGTCGCCTCAATGCACATCCACGGAAAGGAAGCCAACTGGGCCCACTCCTAAGGGACCAGGGATTGCGGCCACAACGCCTCACGCCTGCACTGTCCACAGGGACGACGACGACCCCACGCTGGCGCCCAGAAACGACCCGCGTGCAAAGGTCAGAGGAAACTCATCCCCCCACTACCAAGATTAATTTATTAAAAGATAATGGGTTTTCAGCGAATTTATTAATCAATTTGACAACGCCTGGGGATTGTAATATAAAAATAATCAGTTGGCCGCCTCACCGACGTGAGATGCCAAAAGGTGCCGTTTAATTTCCAGAGCCTACCGCCCCCTCTCCAAACTCTCTGCTACGCTGATTGATACGAAGTTTCCGCAATTTGGAATTTCAGAGGAGCACGTGTGTGCTGCGTCCAGCGCCTGCACATCCGGGCGGCGACTCGGTGGCCCTCACCGGAGCCCAGGGAAGAGCCTGGGCCCCAGAGCTAACCTGCGGCCAGCACGGAACTTCCAGGATGGGGACACTGTCACTGGAGACCCGCCATCTCGCGCCAAGGGCAATGACACGGAAGGTGAGGTGGATGCTGAAGGTGCCCCTTGTCTCCTGTCCTGCTGGGCTGCCCTGAGTCCCTGTCCATGCTCAGGCCGCCGGGGCTGGGCACCCCGTCCTGACGGTCCCCGGCAGTTCCAGGTAGGGAGCCAGTGGACGGGATTCAGGAACTTCAGGGGTGGTTTTTAATGTCACTTGAAAGGCGGCGTCCAATAAATCAGAAGAGCAGCTTGAACCTAACGCATTATGTCTGTCAGTGGACATGGCAGGATGAGGCAGAGCAGGAAGGGGCAGGATGGGGCTGGAGGGAGCAGGACAGGGCAGGATGGGGCAGGAGGGGGCTGGAGGGGGCAGGAGGGGGCTGGA